CTGAGAGCAAAAAGCTCCCCTGGCTCCAAGGCAGAGACCCCCCAGGCCAGGCTGGGCCAGTGAGCACCAGAGAAACGCCTCTGCGGATCCATTGTGGTGAGGAGAAGCACTGTCCTGAGGAGAAGTAGTTGTGGTACCTGGAGGAGAAACAGCTGACCAAACAAAAGACATCCCTCAGCCTAAACAAAGAGAGACAGACAGAGAGAGCTTCGTTGCCAGAGGGAAAGGCGGAGACCCACACCCAGTTCCACCCTGTGGAGCAGGGGAAGACAAAGTGCCCTGCAGCCCATGGAGATTCAACAGCGGAGCAGAGACCCAGGTGTAGATCCTGGAGGACCCCACGCTGGAGCAGAGAAGTTGAGCCTGAGAGCAAGTGTGACTGGAATTGTGGCCCTGGGAGTCGCTCGCTTCCAGAGAGGGGATGGACCCCCAGAGTGCTGGGTGAGTATGCAGGCCATGGCCCATACCAGAGCTGGGAGCTGAGCCCAAAGAGGTCTGTGACTCCATGGGAAGCTGCTTTGGAACATCTTGTTCCTGGACTTCCAGGGCGGGAAGAGCAGCAGAGGCGAACTGACTGAACCCCCATTCCCTGTCCCCTGTGCCCTGGGGGAGAAGGGAGAGAAATGGGGAGCAGAGTGATGGGAGCCCGGGAAGAAGGGAGGGGTGGGGGAGTGAATGAAGGAGCACATGGTCCCACTGTGGGTCAGACCACCACAGTCTGTGAACAGCACGTTGGCACTGCCTAGAAGAAAAAGGGTGATGAGAGTTCCATGGACATTTATGATTTTCTTTGCTGCTGGGATTCCTCGTGCTTTTCTTATCTCCGTGTGGGGGAGTTGGGTGTCGAGTGCTGGAGGACTCAACTGAATCTACTGGAGCCCCTGTTAGAACCCACCAAGGTTGCACAGATTCTGTCCGGTGGTGACTGAAACGCGAGCTTTGGGCTCCAGGATACTCAGTTAACAGATGATCTCTGGAATCCAGTACGTGTCAACCAATCCAGTTGGCGTTGGAAGTTGGTATTTCAGCAGGTCCGTAGGTAAATGGAGTTCCTGCGCTGTCTGTTACAACTTTTACTTTATTTGGAGTATTTCCTGTGGACAATTAAAGTTTCTAGAGAAGGGGATTGCAGAAGAGTATGCTTTTGATTTGCCATTACTGCTTTTATCTGAGATCTCCGACTACTCTGTAAACATCAAACGAGTTTCTGGGCACAGAGTAGGTTAGAATTACATTATCATTGTGATGAGTAAAATGAGGGCCAGGAAGTTAAGTGGTTTGGTAAAATTATTGAATGAGAGTGTTGTGATGCAGCTGTTACACTGAGGCGTCATGAAAGCAGTGCTTCATTATGGGTAATTACCTCGTTATGGAAATGTTAGATCAAGGAACTGGGTACACAAAGAGCAGAACACCTCTTGTGACAGCCTTTGCATGAGGCCAGGCTTACGGGAGGATGCAGTACACTGAAAGCACGGCTCTGGAACCAACCACAGAGCTGCCAGGCATCATCTGGTTGGAAAGAAATACCAGAAAAGGTGAAATAAAGCCAGCTGCTGCCGTCTAGCCCCAAGAAACATCGCTCTGAACATAAAGCACGTGGGTGTAAGCGATGGAAGATCTGACCTGCTAGTGAGGACTGACGCTGCCAAGGCTCAGCAGTAGCTGCACCGTGCTGAGTCAGCGATTCTCCGCGTTGGAGGAGCCCATTGAACGGCAGCACCATAATGCTGTCGGATTTTCACGTCTTTTAAATGTGGCGTGCTTTGCTCAGAAGTTCAGTGAGCATTGTTTTCTCTTGGAAATTCTTCAGCTGCATGGCTGATGTAGCGTTTGAAAAGTTCCCAGCAAGGCTGTGGGTTTTGGAATGTTATCTGTCTACACTTGGATTTTAATTAAAAATTATTATTTCACTGTGTTTCCTTAGTTTTTATTTTTCTGTTAAGGTGCACTCTACATCTAGTTTATTAAAAGATAGCTGTATGGCTGTGTATGAATATATGGCTAATGCAGATGGTGTTTGCACTTGAAAAGAATTTAAAATGTTTTTCTTAATATCTTCAAAATTCAGTATTGCTGTTATACTTCAATCTATTTTGCAAATAAATGGTGTGTATTGATGAACCATGTCAGTATCCATTTGATTTATGAGGCTAAGTTAAAGAATTAAAAGACAGTGCTGCTCGTTATGCATTCTCAGAATTATTTAAATGCTTATTTTCACCAATCTAGTAGAGAGCCTTGTCACGTTACTTATTCCACCTGTGTGCCATTATATGCTCAGCTTTTATGAGTCGTTATGTGGATTGCTGCAGATCTGGGTAAATCCAGGTGCTGAAACCTTTCATACTTGGTGAGGACAGTCAAAGAACACTGCAGAATCCTTAGTGTGTATTTCTGATTCAGCTTTTGGTAACACAGTCTTCTATAAACATAGTGATTTGTTAACTGTGTTTTATGTCTATTTCAGTCCTATAAGATCATCAATTTTGCTCCAAGTCTCCTACAAATCATAGTATCAGATCAAGTTGAATTCCCAGTGCGGCAAGCAGGTGAGAGAAATTCCTTGTTTCATTTTCTTTCAGTCAGTCTGTTAGTTGTTTCAATGGAATATTGAGCTGTTCCAATGTGAGGAAGTTTACATTTGTTCTGAATGTGGAAATGATCTATCCTTGACATTTCTTTCCTTCATGAGGGTCAGATAAAACCATGGGTGGAGGGTAGAGTCCTGCTTTGGCTTCCCTGTGTTTGTAGTGATCCCTACTGGATTGCTGTGATACTGATATGAAAAGAGAATGATTTCTGCTCAAAACTGAGTACCCAGGGAGCCTTAGATATTCATTCTTGTGGTGGTGAAGAAGTAGTGATGACAAGTGGGAATTTAAAAAAAAAAAAAAGTGTATCTTGTTTGAATACATGTTTCTCTATTTGAATCCATTTTCCTGGAAAAATTAAAATTTCTGAAAAGTGAAAATAAAACCATAATTCCCCAGATCAAGGGTAGCCACGTATGTTTAGTCAGGATCTGTGGTGTTTGCTCACAGAAGTAAATATGAAGGAAGGTCACATCACTGATAACTTCCAAATTTATAGTCTGGTCGTATCTAGAAAGATTGCCCAGCTGTGTGTGTGAGTTCAGGTTTGGTGATGCAGTGAACTTCAGGGTATACATTTGTGTAAGATCAGATTCTAAATCATCATAAGCTATTTTAATTACTCCTATACAATACTTCTGACAGATACAGAAGATACTCAGCTTTTTAAAGAAATTGATGAGTACTGCTTCATTCACAGCTCTGTTTTTATCCTATGGAACAGCATTTCCCATAAAAGCACTGGTGGGTTTTTTGTACAATCCTGTTAATCCCCCGAGTGCGTTGGGGCGTGCTGACATATGCTGTTTGTCATGCTGGCATTTATTTTTTCAAAGATAATCCAACTTTGAATGGCATTGTTAAACCATTCTGTAGTAAAGTTTGGTGCTTAATCTAGACTCCATAAGGTCATTTTTATAAATGAATCTGTCATTTCAGTACCATTCAGGAAAAACTCCGAGGATGTAAAACATATTTTTAAAATTTTTGTTTAATTTAAATTTTTTTTTATGGAGTAGGGATATAAAATAGAAAAACACATTTAAATTATATTTGTAAGTCAACAGATTTCTCTGGGAATTTTTTAAAAGTCAAGAACTTGTGTAACAAGATCTGTGAACAAAGTAAATTAAAGTACTGAGCTGGTCTTTCTGGACCTGTTTCTTGTCTGAATATTCTGCACATCGTAGACAAAGAACTATTTTTCCTCTTGCTCCTATAAAATATTTTACAAACTACATGTTTTTCATACTTGGTAATTTGTCATCACCTAGAAAAATGGTTGTACCGGAGTATATCTTATTTATACTTTAAAACCCCTGTTAGTAATCAACCAAAATAGTACAGGGATAAGAGTTTATTGAGAACATTCCTTCTGTGCCTTACACCATATTGCCTCTGTTTCCTATAGAATCCCTGCAGGCATTTTAGTGCCGAGACATAAATGCTTTATTTTCAGTTGAAGACTAACTTTTGTTTTTCGTGGTTTTTCACGTGAGACAGAAGGGAACAATTCTCAGGGATTATGGGAAATCCTAATAGTGAGATAAAGCTTAGGGAATTCACAACAAACATTTCTGTCTGAATAGAAGGCCGGCCACGGGCCAGTTTCATACTGGGCATTTCCCCAAGCTGAGTGTCCCATCTGCGTTCGCAGTGATTTGTTTACACCAGCCTTCCAAAACTTCACTTACTGAGCTTCAGTAGTTGTTTTAGGGATGAGTAAAAATACAGATAAGTAGATTTTCGTTTGCTTGTTTAGGATGAGGGACTGTTATGTCCATATGGAAGACTGCTGTATACATAAAGTGTGTACCCCAATAGAAGCTGACTGAAATACTCTCCTGTTCTGTTCAGGACGAGGCACTTGAGCCTGATCTTGTGTGGAATCGTAAAAAAAAAAAAAAGGTTTTCTGACTCAGCTGTGCTTGGTGCCTCTAACTGTTAAGAACTCATGAGGTGTTTTTCAGTCGTCTTTTCAACTCTTTGTTCTGCTCTCAGCTGTACCACATGTTGAGCACAGCGTAATGTGTTCTAATGAAATTATGCTTATATATAAATGATGAAATTACGATGCGTTCTAATGAAATTATTATTTTCCCCAATGCTTGTACTTAGCTGCCATATACCTGAAGAACATGGTGACGCAGTACTGGCCGGACCGTGAGCCACCTCCTGGAGAAGCAGTATTTCCATTCAACATTCATGAAAATGATCGTCAACAGATTCGTGATAACATCGTAGAAGGAATAATTCGTTCTCCTGACTTAGTGAGGTACCTCACATGGTGCAGAGATATTTCTGTAGCTCACCTTTTCAAACCTACCAATCTGGATGTAGTTAATGTGAGAATCTGTTTCTTGGGAGATGAAGCAAGTACTTGCTCTGAAAATGTAACAATAATAAATTTTAACTTATTTATGTGCACTTGTTTTTTAGAAATGTAGTAATTTGGCCAAGAGCTCTGTGAGATGATTTATCCTCTTATGGTGCTGTTTGAAGTGTCTTATAACACTTGCTGTAGGGACAGCCTGGCTCTTTGGCTGACTCAGGGCAGATAGCATAGAGGCCTATCTGCAGTACAGCATTAACCATTCAGAGAAGTACTGCCCAAGATCTGTTTTCTTTTTTCTAGTAACCCTTTTCTCAATTACTTTTGCTATTTTTATATATAACCCCAATATTTAAATGTGTAGTGGCAATTCTTGGTTTTAAGATGTTAAAAGAATGAAGAAACACTATTCTTTTTCTGCTGGAAGAATAGTTAAGATTCACAGACATACTACAATCTACAATTGTTCTAATTAAGGTTGTAGTGCATAGATGTTCACTTTTGGGAAAGAGAAGAAAATCTTCCTCCTCTTTCCTCCTCCTCTTCACCAGCGAGGTGCCCAAAGATGTCTTTTTTTTTTTGTTTTGTTTTTTGTCACTAGTCAGTAGAGGAGTGATTGACTACAGACTGAAATTGGGATTAGAGAAAACACTTTAAAAAAAAAAAAAAGTGAAACACCAGAATGCATTAGGCTGCTGTAGCATTGCTGTCACTGGAGGTCTTTATGGATAGGTTGGACAAACACCTGCCAGGAACGCTTAGGGTATAAATGGTCCTGTACTGAGACAAGAAAATGAACAAAGTCATCGTTTCCAGCTCAGCTTTTCTAACCTGGAATAAAGTACAGGGTTTCTAAACGCTGACTAAACTTAAAGATTTGTCAGAGGTTAAAAAAAGTCAAAGAAACGTTACTGGAACTAGTCTGATGTTGTAATACTGATATTTTTCACTGTTTGCTTGTGAGAACAAGGAGGGAGTGGGAACCAAATTGGCAACAAGCTCCAAAGGCTTGAGAGGGGAAGGTAAGTTTGTACAAGACTAAAAAGATCAGTAGGTGGAGGGCATCTTATTGAACTGCTTTGTAATGGTGGCTCCCTGTGCAATGGGCTGCAAGAGGATGCCCAAGGAAAACTAAATCTAGAAGATACAATATTTTCTGCAGCCTTCTTTAATTCTTATTCCTTGGCAGAGCCAAGAGTATTTATTTACAGCTTCTATTTCAGTGCTGCTCAGGTTTTGTAGTCATACCTGACTTCAGTTAATTAACAATCCTGCCTTGCCTTAATGTGAGTGGCATCTAAAAGTGTGGGGAGGGAGAGGAATGGTAAGATGTTTTTACCTAATTGGCTCTGCCATAACCTTCAGAGGTTGAGGAAGTGCTGTTCTAGAAGATCCCAGGAAAACTGTAATTTCATGAGGAACCTCTGGCTTGGATCATAACATAGGCCAGTATTGTTTAATTACAATGTACAAATTAGTGGTTTTGGGGTTTCTTTCAGCCTCATAAGCCTGTAGAAGTGTAAACATTAATTTTCAAAGTACAGAGCTGGCTGGTTTTATAAGCAATTAATTGTTTTCAGATATTGCCTGATGGGTGTGGAGAGGGAGGAGGAAGGGAGGAAAGTAGGTAAAATGTTCTTAAATTATTTTCTTCATTAAAGTTAAATCCCCTGGCATTTTTTTTTTCCTTGCTTTCCCTCTGCCACTTCCAGAACTCTTTCAATGCTATCAAAATATGTACGATCCTTGTGATGCAATGTGTATATTATGGCTAATAAACCAAGATTTGGGATCTATCCTTTAATATTAAACGCTATGCCATAATCTTATTTACTTATCATGTGTTTTTTTTTCCTTCCTGCCACAGAGCCCAGCTGACCATGTGCCTCCGGGCTATCATTAAACATGACTTCCCCGGCCACTGGACAGCCGTGGTAGACAAGATAGGCTACTACTTGCAATCTCAGAACAGTGGGAGTTGGCTTGGCAGCCTCCTGTGCCTGTACCAGCTGGTGAAGACTTATGAGTAAGTTGATGTCCATCAGTAGATGAGGAATCAGTACTTTTAGTCTCAGTTTATTACAGAGAATGACATTCTTAAGAGCACTGGCAATTCTACAAGGAGTTTAGGTAGAACATGTGAATTGATAATTGTCGTATGCTTCCTTTCCTGCAAATAAATGAAAACTATTCGTCGTCTTAATATCACCAGTGAATTGAAAGCAGAGATGCCAGCAATAATCTGTATGAATTTAATGACTTTTTTTTTCTTGAGAATTTGTATTTTTTGATAGATTTAACTCATCTGCAAAAAATTTTGTAAATGTTTGTAACTTCTTTTGTTTGAAGATTCCCCAAATGGTGGAATATGAATATGAATGCAAATTATTTTCTATTTTTATGTCACAAATACAATACTGTCATTGTCATATACTCCTATTGCATATTGTTACCTGTACCAGCCTCCTGAGAGTCTAAATCCACAAGGTGTGAATTAAGAGAAGTGTAGAGAGCTCTCTCACTCATTCTTTGGAAGAAAAAAAAAAAATTAAAAAAAAATCTGTAGTTAGAAACGTGTATAAACTGCACAAAAGAAATGTAAATGAAAGAAGAGAGAATCTTTTCCAAACAAAGGAATTGTCTCTCCCTTTCAATGGCTGTTCACTCCTATTTGTTCAGCACCCAACTTGGGTGTGACATTGGTACAAACATCAGAGAAATTCAAGTCTCTGCTCCTGTGAGCTGAAAATTCAACAGTAAAGGACATTAGTTCTTCCTCCCAGTAGCTGCATTTACCCAAGGCAGCATTTGTTGTTTTCCATTTCTCTATCGTAGGTTAGTGAATTTGCACAAATGGTTGAGATGGGGGCTAGAGGAGGAGGGGGCTGAATGACTGCTGGATATTAATATATTTTTTTTAAGGTACAGGAATTAAATTGCTGGTGGGGAATAGACATTAGAATCTCCAGTGTGTAGATGATCCTGGACCAACATTTTTGTTTCCTTTGCAGGTACAAAAAAGCAGAGGAGCGAGATCCTCTCATAGCAGCAATGCAGATATTTTTGCCTCGGATTCAGCAGCAGATGATCCAGCTTCTGCCCGATAACTCCCATTACTCTGTACTGCTTCAGAAACAAATCTTAAAAATCTTCTATGCTCTTGTTCAGGTTGGCATCTGTGTAGAGGAAAACCAAAATCATTACTTTGCTGGGCACAACTTCCCCCTTCAGTGCACTCATGGGTGTGATTGAATAAGAGTAGCCATTGGGACAGGAATATGATATTTCTATATCTTTCTACTTAAAAACTGATTACATGATTCCCCCAGATTAAATTTTTAATGAACCTAGGTCCTTCTGCACATCCTATCTGTAAGCTTGCTGGAGAAATGTTCCTATTTTTGAATCTATGATTCTATTTTTATAAAGTGCCACATAAAATGATACAAACTATATGGCTATCTAGACTGTGCTAGCTGGCTTCTGAAGGTGTCTGTAGTGGATATTGTAATATAATTGTGGAATAGTGCACTTCAGGAGGTGGCATCTCTCGTTATCTTCTGAAGATTTGGCAGAAATTATTTATTGAGGCACACGTGTTTTAGAGAGACAAGTTTGGCTTTTACAGGGGTGAGTTTGGGGAGGAATTACTTTTAAAGAATGAGAAACAAAACAAGATCCTATGTAAGGGGCAGCCTGAAAATTCTGCCTGGGGTTTAAAAATCTAAAATAGTTTATTACATGGGAGGAGGATTAAAAAGATCACATCCTATTTTATTTTTCAATAGAAAAGTAAATATGAAAAATATGAAAATAAAAAATATTTGCCTGAATATTTTGCTTTGGATTTTGTAGAGAAGTAAGATTTACTAGTTAGTAGCTAGGTAGTAGTTCAGAGTACGTCTCACTTACAAAATTGCTCTTGGTTTACCAAAACCCTGTAACACAGATGGTACTGTGGTCCCTTCACAAGAGCTGGGCTGTTGTGAGGAAGAGGAAGAAACAAAGAGGATTAGCAAGTTCTCAAACCAAGGAACTTTCCTCAAATAATGTCTGCTCATAAATTCCTCTGTAAATTGTACCAAGGAGGATGCAATTAGAGTAGCATTGATATCTAACCTTTAATTGTACTTAAAACCTCATCTTTCTCAGAAAATAGCTATGGTAGAAACACCTTCTACATTTTTCAGAAAAAATTAGTATTTCATTAGTGTGATTTTTATTTTTTTTTCTCCTTATTTCAGTATGCGTTGCCGCTCCAGTTGGTGAACAACCAGACTATGACGCAGTGGATGGAGATCTTCCGTACCATCATTGACAGAAACGTACCTCCAGTAAGTTGGGTTTTGTAAAGACCTCTGACGCTTGTGCACTGGCATTTGAGGAGCAGTCAGTGGGAAGATTTTCCAAGTGTTCTTTTTTTAAGATGCCATCTATTTAAGATTTTTATCCTTCAAATGAGTGGTGTTTCTGACAGAAACGCGGGAAGATCATGTAAGCTGTCGGAATTTCATTGTGACACCGTGTAAACTCTCATCTGTGATATTTTTGGAAGTTTCTAAATATTTTAGCCAGTTTCTATCAAACAAGAATCAAAAGTTCATCACAAACCCATCATTTGTCTCTGTTCCTCTTTTTCTTTCATCCGTCCTTCATATTTCTTGAGGAACAAAATTAAAATAGTAATTAAATTCCTGTTTGTGTGTGGACCATGTTAATTGGCATTTTCTAAGTTTTATAGAAATTTATTTTACACCCTTAACGTTCTATTGGTAGCTTTTGCATTAGTGTATCTCGTGAGGGTGTATATATTTGGAGGCATTAGTATCATGCTTAATTTTGAAACCAGAGTGCACTCCAGTGTGTAGTATCCAAGTATACCTGAGGGTTTCCATTTTTTAAATATGCATAATTTTGAAAATTAAAGTACATGTATTGCACATAATACAGTTATATTGACTAATTAATATGTTGGAAAGTTCCTAGATGTTATCTAACTGTTATCAGAACCAAAGCTTTAGTCGATGCTGTGTACTTGGACTGGTTTACTCAGCAAGGAATGTTTAAAGCATCGTTTCTCTCAACGATACACACTGCTGATTTAAAATAAATGTATTGATTTCTAGGAGACTTTGCAAATTGATGAAGATGATAGACCGGAGCTGGTGTGGTGGAAATGCAAGAAGTGGGCATTGCATATTGTAGCTCGTCTTTTTGAACGGTAACCAGCTAACAAACTGATTTAAAAATAAATTTGGGGTACAAATCTGTGACGTTCCTTGAAGTGCAGTTTGACAAGACAATGTAGTCGGTTTAACAGCTCGTGGTCACTGAAGAGGTGTTCCTGCTGCTGTCCTCTGTCTTGCACTGGCACAGCTCTTAGTGAAATGATTGGATTCAATCTTAAGAGGGCAAGAAACCAGCTCGACAGGAAAAAAGTACTCATTTATTCATTTATTTTTTAATTTATTATGCTACATCCAACTACAAGTGCTTATGTTCTCAAATAAAAAGGCTGAGGAAGATTTGAAAAGAAATCCATGAACATGGAATTTACAGAGCTTGTGCCAAAAAGGTGGGGCTATATTTCCTTGACTATAATATTGTACCTTACAGTAATCTAAGAAAGGAAAAGGGAATTGGGGCAAGATATGGGAAATAATGGCTTAGAAGGAACCTGTGGGAAAGGATTCCTGTGGGGATGGAAGGCTTCTTAGGGTCCTTTGTGTTTTAGAAAGTACTGTGTTTTCCTGGCTACACAGAAGTCTTCTCACAGTGTAATTATCTGTGTCCTCTTCTTTTAAAGGTATGGAAGTCCTGGAAATGTAACTAAAGAATACTTTGAATTCTCAGAGTTTTTTTTAAAAACTTACGCAGTGGGCATACAACAGGTAAGTACAGTTAGTTTGTTTTTGAATTAGATCATTTTGGCTGAGTATATTGCTTTTCAACAGTGTGTTTGTAGCTGGATGTAGCAAAATTCTTTAAACAAAGATGAACAGAGTCAGGCAAGTTTTCCTTTTAGTGATTCTTTAGATTCTTTAGAACTCGGTGCTATACAACTGAGGTATAATAAACCAAATTTTCTGCAATTAAAAAAAAAAAACCCTGAAGGAAAGTTCTCAGAAAAGGTGAGTGCTGATAAAATGGTATTATCATCGTGTATAAACATTCTAGATACAACTGAGAGAAAAAACTATTGATGCAGAGGCCTCACATTTTCAGGCCAGTCTTTAGTAAGTGCTAAACAGAATAGTTTATCCATCAGCATATTAATTCTGTAGAAGTATGTAAATGTTCAGAACTAAGGAGAGGAATGGTTTTGGTAAGGCTGTCAGGCTTAAATGAAAAGGGAACAGTCTAATATCTATTCTAAGCTCCTTGCCATTTGTAACTCCTGAGCGGAAAAATAGTCTCCCATGGGCAGTTGCCATTTGAAATAATTAAAGTTTGTCGCTTAAGAGATCAGGCTCCGTAGCAAGGGGAGCAGTTCAGCTTTCAAGAGAAATGAACTGGACAGTCTGCACATTTCTTCCATTCAGCTCTTAAATGCCGATTTGTCACATTTCCTTGCAGAGTTAGTAAGTATTCTGCTGTGAACATTATGTTACTAAGTCCTCATCACTTATGCATCAGTTGTTAAGTGCTGACGTGGTGCTAGAGTCTATATGATAGAGATAATTCTTGCCCAGGGAGTGTCTCATATAGTGTCTCTGACTTAAGATCGCATTTAGTACTCTTGATGAAGGTGTTCTGTTCAAAAGGAGATTTATTATAATGTTGTGAGGAATTATGAAGCAGAATTGTCCTTCTGAAAATTGACGACTCAGTATTTTGTTATGATTGATTTTTATAGTTATTCACGTACATACTAATTTTTTACACTTAGGATCACTTAATACTTCACCTGCTGTTAGTGCAGATGAGTGGCTTTGTCCTGTAGGTTTTTCTTTGCAGAGCAAGCATTTATATCACAGAAGCTTTGTGTGAAAGCTTCTGACAGCATCCTAGGTGTTACTGGCTGATGGTTACAACAGGTAATTGAAGTTAAGGGGTTTGCATCTCTTCTGATTCACAGATTTAGGTGCTGACCTATTTTTCTTTCCCAGTTTAGTATTTCTATTCTTATCACTGTTCTTTCAAAGTAATTTGTCTTCTTTAGGGACCTGTCCTTAAAAAATGAACACAGACACTGGTAATGGATTTAGAAGCCAACCAGTTTGAAAATCTCACTGTGCCTTTTCCTTATCTACTTGAAATTTTGCTGAGGCCTGTGTAAACTGTAAGCCTGTGAATACTGGAGTGTATCTTTGGTTTACGATCACATGGTGGGGCTAGTAGTAAAGGTAGATGTGTACATAAATGCTTGCAGGATTAGATCTTTAATATTTAAATGATTTCTGGTTTTTGGATCAAAGGCACAGTGATTACTAACACCAGAACCTCTGCTGTAAAACTGATTAATCTGTCCATGTACGCTCAGCGAAGATGTGCGCTGCATGTCTATGCACGAGAGAGAATTTTCAATCTTCATTTTGTCATTTCTTTAGGTTCTTTTAAGAATCTTAGACCAATACAGGCAAAAAGAATATGTTGCACCACGTGTTCTTCAGCAAACGTTAAATTATCTGAACCAAGGGGTTATTCACTCTGTAACATGGAAGCAAATGAAGCCACACATACAGGTCAGTGCATAAAAACCAGTCACAAACAGTACATGTCATCAGAGTGGTTAAAAAAAACCAACAAAAACCCCCACAAGATTTGCAGTTTTAAAGAAGGGTTCATGAATCTTTAATCCAGCAATCGATCTGGGCAAAAAATAGCATTTCTACACAAATGTGGTTGTTTTTTTTCAGTATTATGACTACCTTTTATTGCAGATATTGCTAACTCAATTAAAGATTCTGTTCCATAAATCCTTTGTTTTTATTTTTAAAGTCTGCTATACAGTCATGATGTTCTGGCTTTTATTAGCTGCTAGTGTTCAGAATTGTCTATAGATTTGGAAATTCATAATTGATCGTAACGCAAAGATAGCGGGCAAAGAGAGCATGAACTGTGAGGAGCTGAACTCTGTTTTAAGGACATGTTCTAGAAGTGAACTAAGAACAAGTGAAAAGTGGTTTTCATGCTTTTATTTTTTTCCTATTGTAATCTCCCCTGTTGTAGTGAGTTAATCCTGTGACTGTTAAGAGGAAGGACTCTCAAATCCATTCTCATGTTAAGTGTTGCATTGGTGAGATTCTTCTGCAGAATGCAGCATTCTGCTGTTTATAGGCACTGTCCTGAAGTATATTTTGTGCATGGTACTGTATTATTATAAAGGTAGATTAGATAATTACTGTTGCAAAAGGTAAGTATGTATATTGTCAGTTTATTTCTGTTAGCCAGAATAAAAGAGCACTGTTTAGAAGAATTTGTACTCTTCAGAAAAGTAGGTCTAGTAAATTAGTGCATAGTGGAGAGAAGCTGTGCTGGAATTTGATTTTATGTGTACTTATGTGTATTTGCCTTCTCTAATATTAGAGTATAACAGAAGAAGTGATATTCTCTCTAATGTGCTACAAAGATGAGGATGAAGAGCTCTGGCAAGAGGATCCATATGAATATATCCGCATGAAATTTGGTTTGTGTTGAGCATTTATTTTTTGCTTTCATCATATCTGTACGCTATAGTCCCTGTTAACAGCACGACCACTGTCAAGTCTCTGTCTTCACCAGTGTCCTGAACAATAGGAAGAAGAAAATTTGTTTTTTAAATCTCACCTGTCTGTAGTTAGAAGAAGAAGGCGGATCAAGTGAGTTTTGGCCATTTGGCTGGTAGCTTTAAACTAAATGATTCTCTCAACATTTTTTTTTTCTGCTTCACATGTGCTCAGTGCAGCCCACATCGACTGGCTTGCTCACTTTTTGATGCCAGTCTCAGAATCCTGAATTGCAGATGTGCCAGCTGTCTGCGAGTTCTTGCAGCTCTCACTTTGTCCAGAAGAGGCCTGACTTGCTCTTTCTTTTCCCTGGTGAAAATTGTTAATGTCTTCAGCATTTTTTGCAAATTATTATTACCAAATTGTGTGATAACTAGTTATATGTATTCTTTCAAACGATGCAGTGGGGAATCTTAGGAATATCACATTGCACAGTATTATGGATAATTAAATTTATTAAAAGCGTCATGTCATTGAAAAAGGGAAGGGTACTTTCAAAATATAGCAGTTTTAGCTGGAAAATGCTTGTAAGCCAGGCACCACAGAGATACGTAGCATTTGAGAATTTTTGATCAGTTGATTTGGGATTAGCATATGTCAAAACAGATTTTAAATGTTCATAGAATAATTTTAAAATATTGTAGAGTTGTTATGCAAAAAATTAATCACGATATAGTGTCGGTTGCTGGGATACAAATACATTGCTGAGTTTTGGTATATGGATTCAGTTATTTCTGTGTAAGTAGTGAATCCTATTTTTATAGGTAGCTGAGACAGTTAAACAGAGATTTAAATTGTATTGTGGAAGGTAAAAAACAAGCATGAAAGTACATTAAATTGAAATTTAGTGAGGCATTTGGGTTTGGAAAAATAATTCCAGTAGTCTGGTAGTATTTCTTAATCATGTTTTATCTTCAAGTCCTCAGGAAAAGTTAGTGTTTAATTTTAACCACATTTTAAGTTTACCCTTTAAGATCTTTTTATTTAATTCAGTTTATTTAGGGATGTTTGGATTAGAATATATTTGGCAGCACAGATTTTTTTTTTTCTTTAAGATATAAATTATATTTTCAGTATGATTAAAGAAGGTTTACTTGTAATGAAGGAAGCTAAAAAGCTTTAACTTTCAGCAGATCCAAGTAGTTTTAACGTACAAAAGGTTTCCCATGAGGTTTTAATAAAATCAAGCCAAAAATGAGTACATATGGTATACAGATGGTACTGGAATGTATTGTTGTTCTGCCTATACTGGTTTTAATTTAGAAAAAAACCAAACAACAAAACCATGATTTTTCATCTCTTAGACTGATGGTCTCAAAAGAATTAATGAACAAATAATGCATAAGTAAATGCTTTCATAAGCTACATGACATAAGCTTGAGTCTGACTCTTTAACCATGAAGACAACCATGTCAGTGGTTTTGAAGTTACATATTCACCCTGGTTTTGTGATATCCCACATACAGATGGCTTATAACAATTTTTTAATTATGTCATTCAGAAAAGGAAATTTATTTTTTGCCTTCTTTTTTTTTAAATTTGTTAGATGTGTTTGAGGATTATGCATCCACTACAACAGCAGCACAGAATCTCCTTTATACTGCTGCAAAGAAGAGAAAAGAGGTATGGAACTAGTGGGTTTTAATTATTTGAAGTTTCCTTAATAATGTCGTTTTCCCTTAAATTTGAAGATGCTACAGGAAGCTAGTCTTGAAAAATCCACTTGCTAATACATAGTCAAACGCTGTCTGAGTGCTATGAATTTTTGGAGAATTAAAATATGTGTTTATGTAGAAATAAATAAATAAGTGGATTCCTTTTGTAGCTTTAAAATTAACCTGCCGGATATGAACTGAGTTGGAATAGATGTACTGAGATTTTCCCAAGTTTACAAACAGCCTCTCTCGTGGCTGTTCTGAGCTTCCCAAACTGTAGGAGAGGGAAAAGTGAACCTGCTCCTTATTAATTTTCACTGATGCTATTTAAAATCCTGTTGACAGCAATGAAATTAGCAAGAATGAAACCAATTTGATACAGCTGCTCTTTAAATGAGGACATAACTTCTCTGCAGATCTTTCCTGTACTTACAGCAAGCTGAGCAAAAGTTCCCAGCCAAGCCCTGGAAAGCACACATCAGTTTGCTAAAGCTGCCAGCTTTTTTCTGGGTACCATTTTAACATCCAGTAAACATGGAGCTCCATTTCCAGATGGGTTTTCAGAGACAAGCATAGTCTTTAAGTCGGGTGGAATAGGCTACGACCTTTCTAGTTCTTTATTGTCAAACCAGTCCTTGCCCACTGACCTGCTCGTTTTCCTAATTTGTACTGAAACAGTCAAAAGGTCTTAATATCCGAAAAGGACGTAATGGGTGTGGAAATGACATTAAACCTTTCTAACTCTAGTCAACTTTAGCAGTTACTGCCAAAATCAATAGATTAGAATAAGTTTATGGGTTTTTAGTCCAAGCTGTTCTTGAGTATATGTATCTTCATACATATATGTACACACACATATGTATTTATAAATGTGTGAGACAAGCCAGAGAAGTTAAGGGAAAAAATGGGTGAGGTACTGGTTGAGCCTCTTGCCTTTTCAGTACCTGTTTTGATTTGGCTCAAGAGGACAACAAAAATACCTTATATACTATTACTAATGTGAAATTTCAAAGAGATTCATTGAATTTTGACAAGTTTGGCTCAAAAGATGAAAAAGGAACCTTCTAAATTATAACTATGGACAGATGCTGCACATAGTACCTTACAGTTGCTTTGCCAAGACAAAATGTCAACTTACTTAAAAATGTCATAAGAATTTTAAACTTAAACAACGCTATTAAAAGAATTTGACAAAAGGAGATGGTGTGTTTTCTGTCTTGCATAGGTATTACCAAAAATGATGGCATATTGCTACCAGATTCTGACAGAGCCAAACATTGATCCAAGGAAAAAAGATGGAGCTTTGCATGTTATAGGATCCCTAGCAGATATTTTACTGAAGGTAAGTGAGTAAAGAAGTAAGAGAAGTTTGTAATTCTTACTATCAACTGCCATTTCCAATAGAAAAATCTCAGCTTATAAAGTATGGCTGGCCTTTAACTGTATTTATAAAGTCTGTAGAGAGATTGCACTGTGCAGTGAGAGTCTGAGGGTTTGTTCCTTTAAAAATATTAACATTCTTGGTTTTTCTATTCCCATTTTATACCCAGATTTTTCTTCTCAAGTTGCTCCAAAGCTCTTATTTGTTTGCTACAGTACAGTCTCTTGGTCCTCTCCTGCTTTCCTGGTAAAATGAAAAGGTGTTACAAAAGCAAACATGCATTCCATCAAGAACATTGCCTACAATACTTCAGCAACAGCCTGCTTCTGGTTCCAGAAAAATGTTTACTTAACATGTTGCAGGAATATTTTGTCTAGCTTTCCAGCTTTTTTACCCTGCAATGTGTGACTTATTTCATCAGCCAGCTGGGAGTTTTGAAAATAACTGGCAAGAGCACAGAGTTACTCTGTGTCCGTTTTTTATAGACGGTATCTTCAGAATTTTGAGTATTTTTCTGGAATTTGGATACACATTTAATCCACGCTGTTGCTCTCCAGTGTAATATCAATTACAGTTTCCCTTACGCTTTTATAGATGCTGGAGTCCAGAGTGTGCCCCCTCTCCATGTCAAAAGTAACTGCCAAAAAGTTATCACTTTTAGCATGAGGGTGGTAGCTCGTGCTGGAGGCTTCCTTTTCGAAGTAATTTATTTTATTTTATATGAGTTGTCTCTCTGTGCAGGATGTGTCTCTGTGTTACAAGCAATATCTTACCAACATTTACCATCTATTTTTTACCAATGTACCAATTCTGTGCTCTGATCTGAAATCCTGAAACATCAGGAAATTTTGCAGAATTTTTGTAGATTATATTGGATTATGAATGCCCTCCCTTATGCTGGAGTGTAACAGTGAAAGAGGAGGACATTGTTCATGTTGTGAGGAGACTTTCATATTGACTGGGGATTTCTAAACACATTTGTCTCTGTCCTGAGGGAAAAAAAAGGGATTTATTCCAGTATGGTGCTCCTATTTGAATTTTTGAGTCTTGAAACATGAGGTTGTAATATACTTTGTAAAAGAGTAATAATCTCCAAACACTGTAGACTCTTCTCAGCTCTGAATATCTTGTGTTTGGGATTTGACAAATTGCAAAATTCCATGAACTCTTTCTGCATAAAACACTTGATTTTTAAGTGTTTTCTGGCTGGTGAGCTGACTGAGATATAGATTGTATTTTCTGTGCTCAGTTCTTCATCTGCCTCTCTGAAGGCTGAGGGATCAATGTGGGAAAAAATTATGTATGCGTTGGTAGAAGAGTGTTCGCCTAAGGTACATTTTGTGTTGAAGGTCTCCTGTCACCCTCTTCCTATCTTAGCCACTGAGTCATTCCTTTAGATGGTAACACAGTCCCCAGCATATATTTTTTTTCTAGTATCCTGGGGCTCTTAAATGCTTGGAAGGTCCCAAGTCCAGCGTTGGAACAGGCTGCCCAGGGAGGTGGTGGAGTCACCTTCCCTGGTGGGATTTAACAGACGGGCAGACGAGGTGCTCAGGGACATGGGTTAGAGGTGGAATTGGCAGTGCTGGGTTGATGGTTGGACTCGATGATCTTAAAGGTCTTTTCCAACCACTGTGATTCTGTGAAGTCTCCATGCTGGTGTTCTCGGCTTCCTATGAATATCTTGGGATTTGCCAAGGTTGGGATAATGAAGGATAGTTATCATTGAATATCCTTCTCCAGCCAAGGAGATTTCTATCACAAAGGAATTATGTCAGTCCATGAATAAACACGAAAAAAGATGTTGTTGTTGTAGAGTGTAAAAATAATTAGTTTTGATGCTTGCAGCAAGAGTAGGTCCTTTGATACTCAGATCCGTTTCATACTAAACTTTTATTTGTATTCAGGTATGTATGTACCCCTTTGTAGGAAGAATGGAGGTACTAGGTTATTGATCCTAATTAATTTTTAAGGAAAATCATCTGGAATCTGTTGCCTTAAAGAAAATTCCAGTTTACAGTATTGTAATGAGGATGTGCAGTTGAGTATTTTATGTATAGTTCTTTCACTTACCTGGCTTTGAACTTGCTGTGCTTATGAGGTTTGTTCAGTTCAAGATATGAAATCCTTGATCTCTTGGTGAGAGAATACCTTTATTACAGAGATAAATCATTGTATTTCCCATGGTTGATGGTTTAAATGGATTACTGGCTAGAATGAAGTATCTGAAATGAATGGTCTCCAAAATTAATTTTTATTTACACCACAGAAGAGTGTCTTCAAGGATCAGATGGAGCTGATGTTACAGAATCATGTGTTTCCATTGTTCATGTCTAACCTGGGGTACCTCAGAGCCAGAGTAAGTTCACCAGTTGTATCCCTTTTAGTATTTGCTGTGATTCTTTCCTTTGCAGTTTGACTTCATTCTGAACGTCAGTGAAAGAAAAGCAAATAACAACCTTGTACAGTAATTTTTCAGCATTTTGATTTAAAAAAATGATTTGTCAGTTAAACGAATTGATGGAAAGACTGTGTCATATTAGTGTTTACCTCTGATCAGACTGGAGAATGTGAGCAGTGGTTGTGGCCCTTTTGTGACTATTTTTCCTTATCAGATCTCAATAACTGGAGCTGTTGGATGGCTGTGAAGAATAGGTAGGATTTTCACAGAGTAGATCATGTCAGTTTGAGTGTAGCTTGAAGAAAATCCCTGATGGCCCATCTCAGTCATAAGCAAACAGTTAATTTAATTTCTGTTCTGATTTTTTTTCTCCCAGAAGGACCAAAACTATGAATGCCAATTATGTGCATACTGAATTATTGGAATTTGGGAAAGGAAATAAAAAAAAAAATAAATAAAGTACTGCTTGAGTGCTTTAAAAACTGTGTTACATTTACTGTATGATGGTACAGAATTAAGAAAAAAAAAAAAAAAGCAATACATGCAAGCAGAGAGACAGCATTGGTTTTGAATCAGTTGAAAAATGGTAAAAATTCCAATAGTCCTAACTTGCTTTTCTTTTTGTCATGTAGTCCTGTTGGGTACTTCATTCATTCAGTGCTTTGAAATTTCACAATGAGCTGAACTTGAGGAATGCGGTAGAGTTGGCAAAGAAGAGCCTGATTGATGATAAGGAAATGCCTGTCAAAGTAGAAGCAGCCATAGCTCTTCAGACGTTAATAAGCAACCAGGAGCAAGGTATGCTACAGTGATTCATCAGTAAGATACACTGATTTTTATTTTTTTAATTATTATTGTTATTATTTGGTAGAGATGAAGAGGTTGATGCAGATTTATCTAAACATTTCTACCATTTCAAGGCGTAGATTTCAGAACACTTCAGCATGTTTAGACAGTTTTACTTGCTCTTGGCTACTGTATACATCCCAGAATTCTGACTTCAAGTTTTTATAGCAGGTCTCTGCACAAAGGAAGTTAGAATCAAAATATTTCTTTTAATAAAGAAAAAACAAATAGTCTTTGTTTTTCTTTAGTGAAGTGAAATAGCGTGTATGTTTAAGCATGAATGGTGCCTATGTGAGGGCGTGTATTTCCCCCAAAACAGTGGATTTTTGTCGTAGGTGGCATTTCAGTATGGAATGTGGTAAATGTACAATTTATTTACTTTGTTAGTCTACTAGTTATGGGCTGTAAAAGTGCCTTGGGTAGGTTTTTTGGTTTTTTTTTTTGTTTTGGTTTTTTTTTTGTTTGTTTGTTTTTGTTTTTTTTTTAGTGGATTAAATGTAAAACAATTTTTTTGGTCAAGAGTAGTCAGTTACATAGTAGTTTTGAGATACGGTGTGTTTTGTGTTTATGGGGAGTTGCTTTCACCTACTTTCAATTGTTTTTTTAGCCAAGGAGTATGTGAAGCCTTATGTAAGGCCAGTTATGCAAGAGCTCTTGCACATTGTTAGAGAGACGGAAAACGATGATCTCACCAATGTCATCCAGAAGATGATCTGCGAGTACAGTCAGGAGGTCGCTACTATCGCCGTTGACATGACTCAGCACCTGGTAAGAGACAGCAGTAAAATAACAGTCCAGTCAGAAGCACGTGCCTAGTTTGGTGAACACTTAATGAGCTTGGTTTGAAGCACACGCTGTTTAATCTTTATTAAGGTCCATCTATAGTAGTCACAATATTTTTTTCCCTGTATGAAACATCCTTTAAACCTATAGGTTTTTCAAAGATACTGAATTTTGTCACTAGTTTTAGTGAGCCAAGCTCTAAGTATTTAACATTTCAAATGACTTAACAGAGGCAAACTTCTTGAATAATAAAGAAGAGTTTATTAGCTTATTTTCTATCTTCCCCTTTAAAAATAAGGAGCATATTTTTCAATGCTGGGAGCTCTTATAGATAAGGCATTGCTGCAATTGCATTAGCCGTCTTAGCTATTAGAAATGTGAGTTTGCTCTTAAATGTCAAGTTGGTTGGTTTTTTCATAGGCTGAAATATTTGGTAAAGTACTTCAGAGTGAGGAATATGAGGAGGTAGAGGACAAAACAGTTATGGCCATGGGCATCTTGCACACGATTGACACTATCCTGACAGTTGTGGAAGATCACAAGGAGGTGAGATTTTCTTTTATATGTCTTTTCTCCTGCTGTTCCCTTGTGCCTTTCATTCATGACAACAAGCACTTCTATGCACGTTATGTCACTTGAGTTGAGGGTGCACTTACCTTAGCAGGATGGTGAATTAGTACCAAGTGATCTCTGACAAATTTGAATTCAAAGCTCAGTTTACTTTTGTGATTTCTTAATTTCTTTAGCTTTCAACTTTGAGGGAGATTTATATCCTGAGGGTAAAATCCTTAGTCCTTGTTCTGGTAAAGACTTCATCAGATAATTGTATTACAGACTGTTAAAATACATTGTAGGGAGAATTATTTTGCATAAGGCTAATTTTTCACAATTGTCACTCATATTTTGTTGTTTACCCAGCAATTTCTTGGGTAGAATTCCTAGGGATTTGTCTCCCAGTTGTGGTGCAATGTAAGTCTGCATTTCACGTGTTCAAGGAAGAGAGAGATTCTTTCTGCTTGTACCACCGGGGCTGGCTCAGGTAGGAAGGACTGACCAGAGAGGCAAAGTCAGTCAGTAACTTTAAGCTCAGCTGGCACAAAAGTGCTTTGTCCTAGATTGTTTTGCTTCCTTGATTTACAATGAGAAGGTTTTATTGCAAGTGTGAAACCTTTTTAGGAAGCTTATAATTTTGAAAATACATTAATTAAAATACTGATTATTTTCTTGTAAGACCATTGTGTTCCTTTGGATTTCAAAGCATCTTCCATTCCTTTCCAAGGACCCTTTGCATATTTTGAAAGCTAAACTGAAATGTGGTAGCTAAGCTGAGCATCAGGAGTGATAGTCTGAAGTGGATCTTGAGGTTTTAGCCTAGGAAAACCTTTGAGGTTGGGATATTTTTCATATTAATTTAGCAGCTTATTTTTCTGGTGTGTGAAGCACAAACTAAAATATTATGCAGCGTGCTCTTCATGTCAGGATCTTCAATCATTTTAGAAGTTATAGAAATGATATATGAGGTTGCAAACTCCTTAGAAATTCTTTTCCCTTTCACCATTAAGTATGGAGAGTGTTTAGCAGATGGTAACTTTTGAGTCAAGTGTCTGAAGGTAAGTGGATGAATCTGTGGTCATGTACTTAATCCCTTTGCTAGAACAAGCCCAGAAAGCCTGACATCCTGCAAGGTGATGTCTCTAACGAATGACCTGTGGTAATAACATGAAACATCTGTGTTTGCTGGTTTTAATTTGACTTATAAAGTGGCCATATAATTCTCCTTTTTGTTTAGTTTAATTCATAAATGTGTCGAACGTGACAAGGTTGAATCCTGACTTCAGCACAGTTGTACGCTCCCAGTGTCTGCCTGTGTTCCTCTTGCTGAGCCTGCTCTGGGGAGCTCTTCGTACCCCTTAGGCAAAAACAGCTTTTCCTTTCTTCCTTTTAATCCATCCTACTTAAAAAATTTCGGACAGAAGCTTCCTCTCAAACACTTTGAGTACAGTGTTACTGTATTTCCAGGCAGGACAACAGATACAGTTTTTGACAGGATCTGTAGAATAACCTTAAAATAAGATTATTATTATTTTTTTTTTTAATAAAGAAAAATGCTGTAAGTGAAAAGTTTTAAAGCAAAGCTGTCTATTGAAAATGTGAGTTCTTAGAACAGTGAGAGCTTATTTCATAATATTGTGATTGTTAATGCGACATTTAAAAAGTGATAGAAGCCTTTTTGTTTTGAAGAACTTCTCAAACTGAAATAGTCAGACATTGATTAAATTACTGTGTTTCTAAATAAACTGCTTGATGTTTTTATTTCAGATAACTCAACAGCTTGAGAGCATTTGTTTGCAGATCATTGGCCTTGTTTTGCAGAAACATGTTATAGGTATGTTTTAGAGATAGTTTTTAGAATAACATTACATGTTTTTATATTAAAAAAAAATCTTTAATTATTACAAAAAATACTATCTTCCTGAACAAAAAATAATCTTTTTTTGTGTGTGTGTTTGTGCGTGCTTCTTTAAGGAAAAAAACCATTTCATTTTCATTTATGGTTTGTTTTTCCTGATCCCCTCTCATACATTAGTCAGGCTGGTTATTGTGTTTTGGAGGTCAGACTCGAAAGCAGAAGCTGCAGTTTGGATTACAGTTCTATTTAGCTGTGTTAAAGGACAATGTCTACCATGACATTAGTCTTTTATGGACACAGTCTGCTATTAAATTACTGCTTACCCTGCACTAAAGAGCTACACAGTTTTGTTTTAAGGCTTTTAAGAAAAAACAAAAGTTGAGAAAATAAAAATATTCTTTAGTAAATAGTTTAGAAGCAATGTCTTTGGTATGCTGGTAATATATTTTTATGGTGTGTATTTATCAGAAAAAATTCTGCATGTTGTGGTAACTGTAGCCAACATGGGGCCCATCTAAAAGAGTCTTTTTCCAATTTGTATTATTTTTCTGCATATTGATTTAGTTACTAATTGCCATCTTCTAGTTGTTATATGACTTGTGGCTTGGGTTCAGATTTCAAGGTATTTGCAAGCTAAATTATTCTTTTTTAAAGCACCCTACCTCAAATTATTTCTCCTTTCCAGAGTTTTACGAAGAAATTCTTTCCTTGGCCTACAGCCTGACATGCCAGATGATTTCACCTCAAATGTGGCAGCTTTTAGGTGTTCTATACGAGGTTTTCCAGCAGGATTGCTTTGAGTACTTTGCAGGTATGATCACTTCTATTCTACTGATGTTTACAGTGTTTGGGAATTCTAAATCTCTAAAGCCCAAGTTAACAAAGGTCGCTTCCATTTAGTGTCTTGGTAAAATGATCGTGTATTTGAGTCACGCCCTGACCATCTCTTTAGTGTGGGAGTGTGACAGGAGCATATTGAAGTAGGGGAAGCATGTTCAAATCTGTCGGTGTGATCAGTTATTGGAGGAGATTCTGAACTCAAAGAAAGCTGAAATATACAAAGTTAATGTGTAACTACAAATTAATTAATTAAACTGTAGTTCTATTCTATTTCCTCTTCTGAGAATTGTGCATTATGAAGAATTCTGCTAGAATAGGCGTTTTCAGAGTTTGAATTTCCAACCGTAGCCAAGAATCTGAGCTCATGAATTCCATTACAGGACTACAGCCTCGCTGCTTAGCACTTGCATGAATTAGTTTGTCTTTTTTTTCTCTTTTACTCTCCTTGTTCTGCAGATATGATGCCTCTCTTGCATAATTATGTGACCATTGACACCGATACTTTACTGTCTAACCCAAAGCATTTAGAAATAATTTATGCTATGTGTAAAAAGGTAAGGCTTCTGATTCTTGCCGTTGCGCTTATCGCTGGTACTTCACTATCACATTAGCAGCGTCCTGAATGTGCCAGGTGGTGGCCAGTCATTTCAGGAGGAGATGAGATTTGGTCTTGGCTCAGTTCTGACTGAGTACACATAGCACCTTCACACTTTTTAAGTGATATGCTTTTTGAAATATTACACTCACAAATCTGTGTGGGAGAAAGTTGCTGTTCATCTCGACTCTCTTCTATGAACAGCTATTTTGGTAAGTAGAGGAATTAATGAAACCTGGCGTTTCCGTGGGTTGTGTTATCTTGTGAGTGGGTTCTCCAACTGTCAGCTGAGGCGCGAACTCATTTCAAGGTCTTCCTACATTTATAATGTGTCCCTTTTATGCTGATTCTCTCATGTATAATAAAGTCTGAGATTACGCTGCAGCCTTGCTCTGGTTCTAGGCATTAGAGTTTTAGGCATCTGGGAACCTCCTTATTTTTAAGAAAGTTATAGAAATTGCATGTGTTTGAGAATTCTGCTTCCTTGTCAGGTTGGATTGACACTGACCATAGGGTTGAAATGTACCGAGAGGAAACAGTCTGTTTCACATGTATGTGCATTTACACAGAACGACTGCATACATCTCTTTTTTTAATCAGAAACTAGCCTAGAGATAGGACTTCACTTTGCCAGGCTGTTAATCTGCCAGTGTCTATCATTGAAGTCAAAAGAAACAGAATGTGGAGAACATCAATGGTTCTTATAAGTGACATTTATTTTAAAAAAGGGAAAGTGATGATGTACGAAGAATACTAACGTTCATAAGGAACTGCAGCAATTTCTTCTAAATTCTTTCATTCGTCTTTAGCCACTTATCCTTGTTGATGTCGTGTAGAGATGATTTTTTAATCTGTTTTAATTCCTCACAAAATATAGTATGAATAGATATGTATATGCCACGTAGAGGTTTTTGGATGTATGCAGGTACAGGAGCATTTGCTTTCAGTGTCAGTGATTAATACTGATAAACTAAATTGTCCCTCTGGTTGTTAGGTGTTAACAGGAGATGCAGGAGAAGATGCAGAGTGCCATGCAGCCAAACTCCTAGAGGTGATTGTTCTTCAGTGCAAAGGACGGGGTATTGACCAGGTGATACATATTGAACAGGTTTTCTCTTTTACTGGTTTCCAATCATTTGTGTATGATTCCTGAGAAAAGCAGTTGGAATTAGAGAATTTGAGGGAAATGTGAAGTGTAGGAATGGGGAGAAATACAGGAGGAAGTAAATGAGCTCAGGAGAGTTTGTAAGGTTGGTTGTTTTGAGTTTTTTTTCTTTTTTGTTTTTTTTTTTTTGAGGTTAGAGATGAGTGGGCATAGCCAGAAAACGCATAGCGACCGGATGATAAGGATACAGTATGATGTGCAGGATTGTCTTTTTTTTGCTTTCTTCTATTAGGATTTCTATTTTGATGCAAAACACACGTTGTTAAAACTGTTGTGGCTGAGAGGTTAACTATATGTAACCAAAGACAGAAGTTCTTTCTCCAAACAGTATGAACCTGCTCCTTTTTTGAATATTTTGTATTACTCAGTGCTTTTGGAAATGAAGAATTTTTAGTGTGGCTGGATTGTGATTGCTGGAAAAAACAGAATTTTCCAGAGTTTCTTAGAATACACTTTTAGATAGTAGTCTTTTTCCTATTAGGGGATAAATTCTGGTCTCACGTTTTACATAATGCTCCAGCCTAGTTTACTTTAACATATCATGTTTGATGTTGCCACAGTGCAATCCGTGGACTTCAGTGATACTTTTTCAGTTTTAATAATGTATATCTGAAGTAACTGAAGATAAAAATGTTCCCTGAAAGACTTTATTTAAAAAAAAAATGTGGAAAGCATTAGAGTGAATTGTATGTATTTGCACTGAAATAAGTATGTGGTGGAAGGTTTAATTGAGCTCCACAAGTCTGTGAATTAAAATGGTTGCATACTGAACTGAGACTCATAAACTAAAACATTCATAATGCTTCCCAAATTATTATAAAGCATAAATCTGCACATCAAAATATATGTAGATGTTCATTTCATTGTGTCGAAATTTGTGCATACATGCTTTTATCTGAATAAACCCCCTCATTTCAAACTTCTCTAAGAAATTTAATGTCACTTTACATTTATTGGGGAAAAACTTATTTTATTTTTCCTGCAGATTTAGGTAATTTCATTTTTAATGCCTTTTAGTTTTGAAATTGTTGAGTATCTTTATTCAAATATGAGAACACCTTTGAGTTCTTTTCTAAACCTTTTATACACAGTAGAACAAATTCCACCAAATGGCCCCAAATATTCTCCTCCGTGCTGAGCATAACTTTGGCGATTTTTAGGTCAGAGAATAGCTGTTTTGGGGAAGATTTATAGGCATGTAATCAGAGGCTTAAAATGCATTTATGCTAGGAAGATAATAGGATGCATTCCTAGGTTATACCTGGACTTTAGTGAACTCTAGCGATCAATTCTTATAAAAGTATTTTAAACTTTTTTATCATCTGGTAACATGTATAATGTATAACGTGTTTTTTGGTTTGGTTGTTTGTTTTGGTTTGGTTTTTTTCTTCTCCTTTATGTTTGTATGCCCAGTGTATTCCACTCTTTGTGGAGGCTGTTCTGGAGCGATTAACCAGGGGAGTTAAAACCAGCGAGCTTCGTACCATGTGTCTTCAGGTTGCCATAGCTGCACTCTACTACAACCCTGACCTGCTCCTGCACACCTTAGAGAACATCAGATTTCCACACAATCCTGAGCCCATCACTGCACAGTTCATAAACCAGTGGATGAATGACACAGACTGTTTTCTGGGGCAAGTGTTGTCATTTTTTTTTACTTTTAAAAGACCATGGTTTTGATTTTTTTGTTTACTTCTGTTTGTACCCTTAGTCACGTTGATGGAAGAGTTTTCATTCCTTGGTTAGTCTAAATAACAGGAATTCACACCAGGTGTAATTGCTGTGGTGCCAGTGAAGGTGACCCATGTCCACGTCACTTTTCTGGGTCTGTTCATTACATGTTGAATTTTCTGTGTTGTGAGGATACAAGGGTACAATACATACCATATTCCAGAATTCTTTTAAGTGCCTTAATCACAAACTATCTGCTTCTCCAAGAGATGGTCCAGTGTGCATTGAGGGCAATATTCAGAGCTGAGCAGCAGGAGTTCAGCGAGATGTTGAACTTTTATTCTGAAACACAGTGTATATGTATTTTCTGTTCTATATTTTATAAAGTATTTTTAGCTGTTCCATTTAATATTAAAAAAACCCAACATTATTCTGTCCAATGAACCCCATACTCTGATTTTAATCCTTGCAAGTTGTTCACGATTGACTTTGCATATTTGTCATTAAGTCATTGATGTTTAGCATATTCCTTGAGCATGTGTGAAGGGTTGGTTAAGGGTTTAGAGGTTTGTTCAGCCTGGAGAAGAGGAGACTGAGAGGAGATCTCATGGGGGTCTAGAACTTCCTCCCAAGGGGAAGAGGAGGGGCAGGCGCTGATCTCTTCTCTCTGGCCACCAACCAATGCCAGGAGGCGAGGAAATTGCAGGAAGATGTGGCAGGGGAGGGTGAGGTTGGCCATGAGGAAAAGGTTCTTGAGGCAGAGGGTGGTGGAGCACTGGCACAGGCTCCCCAGGGAGGTGCTGATGGCACCAAGCCTGACAAGATTCCAGCAGCATTTGGCCACCATGTGCCCTCAGGGACATGGTGTGAATGTTGGGCTTGTCCTGTGCAGGGACAGGAGTTGGACTCCATGATCCTTGTGGGTCCTTTCCAGCTCACAACATTCTGGGATTCAACGTATGTTGGGTGCACTAGTGTGCACTTGGGCAGAAACTGAACATTTGTAAAGTAAATGAAGGTGGACAAAGCCTGTCATCACTTGTTGCTGGGTGGATGTGAAGTCCAGTGCTCGACAGTCCTTGCCCCACAGCTGAGATGTGGCATCTGACTGTGAGATTCAGATCTGCTTAAGGGCAAAGTCAGATGTGGGTAACAGGTACCTCTCACCTTCCTGCCATGAGTTACATGTTGTCACTGGAGGCTGACATCTGACTGCAGGTGTTATGGAGAGGCTTAGAGTATGTCTTCTCTGCTCATAGTCTATGTCAACAGGGTAAGTGAAGTGTCAGCGTGTTAGGAATCATGCCATGAATGAGCATGGGCTGAGACAGGCAGCTCCGGACCCACAGATACGTACCTCATTACAGGTTGTCATTCTTTTTCTGCCTGTTTTTTTATTGCTACAGTCTTATCTTTCCAATTCTAAACAAGTCTCTAGGGAGCTTCTTATAAGATGGTTTCTCCACTCCCCAGTCATTCAAACAGCTTTTCTCCATCACAATTCTTATCTGAGTTAATCTTTCTTACACAGAATTATATGCTGTCTTGGTATAGCTACTTTATTGCCTCAGTGTCCATCTCAAATTTAGAACTGTGGGGCATAACTGTATCATAACTATAATAAAATAGTGACTTCCAGTCAATCAATCACCAACTAATATATGCAGGTTTTGCTCTCGGCGTGTCCTTTGTAGTATTTTTAAGACACATACTAAATGCACACAGTAAAATTTACTTTCCTCTGTCCTATGCACCCAGTTCAGTGGGATGAGGATGAAGGTGTAGTTTGTAGAAGTGCAGCACAGCCTGCTTTATTTCGGGTCTGCACCTTAGTTCTGTCTGTTTTACTAGAATGAAAACTACTTGGAATACAGGAGACACTGCCTGCTCTGGTGTACACAGGCTTTGTGCAGATTCCCCATCCCTGTCTGTATTTGAAGGTATTACCATAGCAGTCTCTCCTTGAAGAAAAAAGAATTAAAAGTACTAAATTAAACAGATAAAAAGTGTGTGTGGGGAAATCTTTTATTCATTATAACAAAACCAAACAGTTTATATTGTCACAAGCATTCTTACTTCTTCTCCCTGCCACATGTACAAAATGTCTATAGTACGTCCTGTATCTTCACATAAATCCCCATCTCATCAATCAGAGGGGTTACCTGCACTGGTGACAAAGGAAGCGTAAAGGACCCAATGTCCCTCATTTCTTTTGGAGTGCCAGTGGCTGAAAAAGGGCACCTTTCAGTCTACCTCTCCCACACCTTGTGGTAATATTATTGTTAATTACTAAATTGTTTTTATATCTAATTATATATCTGTTTATATCTAATTATTTTTATATCTACCTTAGAAAAGAGCAAAGATTTTTTTAGGATTTCCATGTACTGATTTTTTTTTTTAAATGGCTGAAGCAAAGTTCTTGAGGTTCAGCTCTTGGCACTGTCATTTTTTTCTACTGCGTATCAAATGGCGAACGCAGACAGAGACAGAAGGAAAGAAGATATTCCCTATAGGTGGTAAACTTGTCATTCTGTTTTTAAAAGAAATAGAAAATGAACAAGATTTATAGCCTTAAACAGTTCATCCTAGACCATTCAGTGAGAAACTAGTCAGATCCAGAGGAGAAGAATGCTGCAGATCTGAACTGGCTCCGACCTCAAGTACTCCTGTGAGCTACAGCTTAACCTGCTGTTCTTCCGTGTTGCTTTTCAGAAGCACCAGCAACTGCAGCTGCTGCTCAACTGAGTTCTTCAGAGCTGAGACAAAAGTTGACAAAACCAACGAAAATGAAACACGGAGATAATCGTGCTGGATTCTGCTCAGGCTCCGCACTTGAGCGGCAGCAGGAGATTAAGATGTATCTCTTTGATCTGCTGCTACCAGCAGTGAAATTAATATCTGTAATATTGCTTAAATCTAAAAATCACTGTTCCTTCAGTGCTGTCTCCTCAGTTTGGGGCTTCCAGGTGTGGAGCTTTTGCTATAGTACTGCTTGTCAGGCGCTGTGGTGTGATGGAAAGGACTTCTTCCCTCAGGACAGCACTGCCTCTAGACTGTTTATTTTAGTAAGGGTAGTAAGGGTCATCATCTGAACAGCAGCCAGATATTCCAAAACCTAACTGGACAGGAAAAGAGAGGGATGCAAACAAAATCTGGCTTTCTTGAAACCAACCAACAAAGATGATTAAGGGGCTGGAGCATCTTTCTTATGAGGAAAGACTGAGAGAGCTGGGTCAGTTCAGCCTGGAGAAGAGCAGACTGAGAGGGGGGGACAGTGAGCGAGCGGCTGGGTTTGGCTGCCGGCCCAGTGCCAGCCCAGTGCCACCACAAGAGCTCAGAACTCATTGTAAGACTGTGCATAAATCCAGTATGTTATTGTGGACATTACATACCTGTGGATATCTGCCTATAATGCTCATGTACCACGGTGTATTGTTTCTATTTATTTCTAAATGTTTTCTACAGTAACTTCAAACTTCAAGCCATTTGTAGAAACATTTATTCCTCACTGCTTTCTCCCTTTTTCCTGACAGGTGAAATTTGGATGAGACTTCTGCGTGACTTATGCTTACTCTTGTACTAAAAATTCTTCTGTGGAAACTAGGGTGAAAGGAAAATCTACCCTGCTTCAAAAAAAAAAAAAAAACCCAACTCAATAAGTGATTTTAGTTTTTTAGAAGCTGAACATGGGGATTTATTTGGTAGGAGTTTAAATAGTTAGAAATCCTATTTTCTGAGAGTTGTAAAATCCGAGTGTTATTATATTAAAACAGAGTTGGTTCCAACTTTGCAACTAGAAGGAAATGGCTAATTATTTGCAGTTTGTCCAGGAACTGAACTGATGTAATAGAGGGCAACTTGATCCTCACAAAAAGGAGCACAGCACACCAGTAAAGGAAAGGCTGAGTGATTTCCCTTTGAAATACTTTCAGCTTGGTTTAAAATACAAAAAATTCTTAGATTTTTTTTATTTTGGCCCTGTATTGCAAAGAAGTGTATTAACGAGAAAAGAGCCTGCAGATTATGAAGACCACACGCACGCAGCTTGTTAAAAATAGACTTGCCTGGGAGTCGTTGTGCATCGCGCTGCTGTGTGCTGCACGTTTAGCACTGAGGGAGCAAACAGAGTCCAGGATTGTTGGGGACGACTGTTGTGAGCTGCTGAAGCACTGGTGATGCCACAGCTCGAGTGCTGGGTTCAGTGTTGGGCCCCTGACTCCAAGAAGGACATGGAGGTGCTGGAGCGTGTCCAGAGAAGGGCAACGGAGCTGGGGAAGGGTCTGGAGCACAAGTGTGCTGAGTTCCCAGCTGAGGGAACTGGGGGTGTTGAGCCTGGAGAAAAGGAGGCTGAGGGGAGACCTTGTGGCTCTGTGCAAGTCCCTTGGAGGAGGGAGGAGAGAGGTGGGGGGGGGTCTGTTCAACCAAGGAGCAAGGGACAGGACAAGAGGAAATGGGCTCCAGTTGTGGCCAGGGCAGTTGAGATGGGATGTGAGGAAGAATTTCTTTGCTGCAAGGGTTCTGAGGCATTGGAAGGGGATGCCCAGGGCAGTGGTGGAGTCCCCATCCCTGGAGGGATTGGAGAGTTGTGTAGACATAGTGCTGAGGGACATGGGTTAGTCGGGGACTTGTCAGTGTTGGGTTCATGGTTGGACTCGCTGATCTTAGAGGTCTTTTCCAATCCAGGCCATGCCGTGGTTCTGTGACAAAGCACTAAGGAGAACTGTATCCAGGCTCCCTCGTGCAGGTGGAAGGGTGGTGAAATAATGAGCCTTTGGATAGCAAAGGAGCAGTCCTGGAACCATTCTTTGCCATTATTGAAACATGCAAATGACATAAAACTCTCTTTTGCTTGTTCAGTCCTGTGGGTACTCGGTGTGGCTGGGATGTATCGGTGTAGGATGCTGAAGGTCAGGTGAAGCAGATGCTTGTCCTGCTGTTTGTCTCTGTGGGCAGATGGAAGAAATAAGTCTCCTTCTAGCTCAGGTTCACTAACCGTGGCTTGATGCCTGGATTTCTGCTGTCCTGCTGGGCCTTCCAATAACATGCAGATTCTGAAGATGTGTTCATGCTTAGAACTTCTCTGTTTAGAAGTTTGAAAATGGAGTGTGACAAATAGGCTGTATTTTTTGGCCTTTTGGCTGCTTCCTAATGATGACTTCCTTTTAAACAGCACTGCTTGATTGTTGCAGTTCCATTTGCTGTCCAGAAAAGGGAATTTAGTATGAAACTTAAGCCACTAATTACTAAGATTTTTTTTTACATTTTTTTTACATTTTACACAATTGGCATTGTGTAATGGTGGCTTTTTCAAATACATTCTAAAAGTTTGTGCCAAGTGTCAGTAACTACTCATTCATTACACATACACTGAAATGGCTTCATTATGCATTTGGGGAAGAAATTTCATGGCTCTCCAATGTCAAAGTGCAGGATAGGTATCTTGTGCACAGATTACAGAGCTTTGGTCAAACTTGGATGAAGGTGCTGGCAGAGAGAGAGGAGGTAAAGTTCTTTCCTTTTTGTACTTGCAGTAAGGACAACTCTCCCCAAAAAGTTATGTTTCATTCATAGGTAGCATCATCTTTAGCCTGGATTTTGGTCTTCATGATGTTGGCATGTTCTCTCTTTTTTTTCAACATAGATAAAGGAGTAAGGAGTTGGTTTTTGGTTTTTTTTTGGGGGGAGAGGGTGGTTTTTTTAAATTTATTTGGGTTTATTTTTGGTGAAAACAGACCCTGTTCCCCTAACTCAGTTTCCTTGGTTGATTTCTGTGCCCTCTTTTGTGCCTCATTCGTTTCAAAAAGAAAATATTGCAGTTAGCAGTGATGGAAGGATGCTCTTCGCCTGCTTGCATTTACATACATTTTTCAACACATGTAAATGGAGCAGCCAAACCCAAAATGACAAAGCATGTCATTTGATATGCTAGTTGACTGTTTTTCTTGGAAGGTCTTCTGTGATTGTAACGTTACACATGGTTGTATATAATTTATTGTTGTTGTCAAATACTCTGAGAATGGAATCATTTTGCTAAGACCTAACAGGACTAACAACGTGGGAGGTGTACTGAAATCCCTCCAGACCCCCAGCATTGTTTAAGCACGTGTAAAGTTCAGAAAGATGTGATACATGATCACTTGTATTACTTGAGGAATATTATAGTTCAGTGGCATGTTATATGGGATCTTTGGTGAAGAAATTGTAAGCACTTTAAAAATTGTATTTCTATAGTAATTTTTGAAGTAGCGGATTGAGCTGGCTGTTCCCTGTAAGCTTTAGTGCAGCCTTTGGTGCACATCTTGCTAGCTGCTTTTCTCTCAACTTGTGTCCTCTTCATTCTAAAGTAAAACTGATTCAATAATGAAAGTATCTTCTGAGAGTCTAGAGCCTGGCCATTTTCTGCCAGCTCTGGAGGTTTGCTTTGTGTCTGTAGTTCTGGCTGAAACTGCTTGTTGGAACTACTTAGAGTCACAGAATCCCAGACAGGTTTGGGTTGGAAGGGACCTGAAAGCTCATCCAGTCCCAACCCCCCTGCCAGCAGCAGGGACACCTTCCACTAGACCAGGTTGCTCAAAGCCTCATCCAACCTGGCCTTAAACACTTCCAGGGAGGAGCAGCCACAGCTTCTCTGGACAACCTGGGACACTGTCTCACCACCCTCTGGGTGAAAAATTCTGTCCTCGGATCTCACCTAAATAATCTCCCCTCTCTCGGTTTCAAACCATCTCCCCTTGTCCTGTCACTCTCTGCCCATGGACAAAGTCTCTCTCCCTCCTGTTTCTAAGCTCCCTTCAGGCACTGGAAGGCTGCAGTGAGGTCTCCCTGGAGCCTTCTCTTCTCCAAGCTCAACAAGCCCAACTCCCTCACCCTTCCTTGAGCAGAGAGGTGCTCCAGCCCTCTGATCATCTTCCTTGCTCTCCTCTGGACCCGTTCCAACAGCCTGGATACAAAACTGCAGCTGGGGCCTCCCAAGGGCAGAGCAGAGGGGGACAATCCCCTCCCTGGCCCTGCTGCCCACCCCTCTGTTGATGCAGCCCAGGACACAGTTGGCCTTTGGGCTGCAGTCACACACTGCTGGCTCAGGTCAAGCTTGTCCTGCAGAAGGCTTGCACAGAAGCTGTCAGCATCACATTGAATAGTCCAAATAAAAGAAGCTCCTCTCAAGCCCTTAGTAGCAAAATACCATCATGTTAGAGGGGAGCCGAATACTACTGGTACCTCCAGTAATGGAGGAATTTTCCCTGTCTTGTGTGCGAGACATGAAAATCAGTTCTTCTTAAGAGCATAGGCTCTTACCTAGTTTCCTGCCTATGGTCACATAAAAATCTTTCTGCTACTGATCTCATTATTTTCTTTCCTTTCAGTTATCTATAGTTCGTTTGTTTTACTGGAGTTCTACTCATTTGCAAGTTTCCTATTTGAAATAATTCCAATAACTTCAGTAATTCCCTATTGAATAACTGATAGGGTGGGATTGTTTCCCTGCTTTCACTGGAGTTAGCAATGTGTCTCAAGTTAGTGTTGGAAATCGAATGTCATTCTGATGGACTCTTAATAAACATGTTTAAATACAGCTAGCCCTGTGGCACTCTGTAAATGCACCCTGCAATTCAGTGCCTTCCCACTTATCATTATTCCTCACTAATAGTCTTTTTACTAATTTCAGTCATTGCAACAGTACTGCTATCGAAGCCAAGGCAAATTAATTTTCCATCCTATTTAATTATGATAATCTGTATCAAATGCCTTATTAAAGACAAGATATCCTACATAATTATTAAACAGTATCTATTTGGCATGACAAACTTTGCACTTGGTAATCAGAAAGAGTTGTTCCAGGAATTTGGCCAGTGCTTGAGAGGTCTTTAATTGTTATCGGAGAATTACTTGCATTCAGAACAAAGGAAATAATGTGCTTAGGAGCTTCCCGCATGGATTTTGAGCATAGTCTCTGTGACATTGTCTTCTGCCACGTCAAGCACTAGGACTTTAATGCTCACTACATACCCTTGCAGTGAAAATCTGGTGGGTTTTTTTTGTCTAACAAGTGTGTGTTGTTTCAGACTCCATGACAGAAAGATGTGTATAATAGGACTGAGCATCCTAATGGAATTGCAGAACCGACCGCCTGCGGTGGACGCTGTGGCTGCTCAGATCGTCCCTTCAGTCCTCCTCCTCTTCCTGGGCTTAAAACAAGTTTGCGCCTCACGAGAACTCACAGAACATGAGGATCATGCTAAAGATGAAAAGCACATTGCAGAAGATAATGGTAAAATCTCCCCTTTACACATTATGGATTTTTTCTGGATTTAATTTAAAGGGGGTAAGAGATGGAGGTTAATTTTCAAGACTCATTAGTCTGCTGAAAATAGCTCAGTTTACTGGGTGCTTGACAGATCATCGTAGGAATTGATTTACTCCTCCCAAAATGTAATCAAAATGTTTCAGTGTAACACTTTGTGAAAGGGTAGTATTGGTTTAAGAGTAACCATAAAACTTGCAAGTCCACTTTTCTGGGTTGTGAATGTGCTCCCTCTTCTCACGTAGGCAGCTGGGTTATATTGCTGATTCCTGGAAAGAAGCTGTTCCTAGTACCCAGCTATTTGAAAGACCTGTTTGGCTGAACTTTGAAGGAAATCCTAGCAAGTCTTCTTTGGCCAAATGGAAAGTGATTTGCAAAGTGAGGTTTGAGATGGCTGAGGTTCCTGGAGCAGACAGACCTCTTCCTGCTGTGTCTGCCAGAGGACTAAAAATATCAAAGAACCATCGTGACAATGGTCCAATGTAGTTGATTTACCTGGCCTTGCTGTATTGAAAACCCACCACCACCCTCTGTTCCAGGGAGATTTTACTGGTGTGGCTCGCTTGATTGCAGCACATGTTTCACCTGCACGAGTAACCTGTGTAATGGCCTCTGTGGTCAGGTCCAGCCCTCCATCACAGGCTCATCAATATGTTGCATCTCTCCCTAGATGTCCCCATGTTTCATGGGCCCATTGAGCTACAGTTAGCTCACCCTTACGTTCCCAGTCCAGGTCCACGGGAGCTACCTCAATTTTGGCAGCTTTATCTACATGTTCATTGTTTTGATGTTCTTCCATGGCGTGGCTTTTGGGCACATGTGAGCACCTACATGACGTACCTTTAAAGTCATGTTTTCTACTCAAGCAGCGATGTCCTGCCACAATGCAGCAGCCCAGATGGGTTTCCCCCTGCGCTGCCAGTTCGTCTTCCACTGCTGCAGCCACCCCACAGGGAGTTAGCCACCATCCAGGGTTCACTGTAGAGACAGAGCACTGGCCACTTGTCTCATCCAGCAGTCTCTAGGGCTAGTTGGATGGCTTTCACTTCTGCAAACTGACGTGACTCGCCTTCTCCTTCAGTGGCCTCAATGACTTGTCATGTGGGACTCCACACAGCAGCTTTCCACTTCCTGTGGTTTCCCACCACACAACAGCGTCCATCAGTAAACCTTGCGGAGGGAGTTGTGGGGAGTGAATTTGACACAGCATTGCAGGCAGATGTGTGTGTGGCTGTATTTGACTTGGAACAGGAGATAGATGGGTTGAGGTCTGAAAATTAGATTGGGTGTAAACAGATTATGTAATCCACTCAGATTTCACACAGTGTGGTTGTTCTATAATGAAATTACAGAATTCTTCTCAGTGCATAGGAATACAGTATGGAAACAGCACAGTAATTTCCAAATCTCTGTCCTGTGATCCAGTCCCTGCTTGTTGCAGATATGATCATCTTTATTCTTTGTAAACTGTTAACACAGGAAGAGCTGAAGGTTTGGAATTGAAGGTGGTGGGTTTTTTTAATCTTGATTATAAGTCAGAACCATTTTTTCCTTAAGTAAGAAATAGCAGTGTTTAGAATTGCATGTTGGAGTTGGGTTTAATTCAGGATGGAATCATTGTTTCAGAAGTGGAATGGAAGGTGAAGCTAAGCAAAAGGTGCTGGTTTAAGGTTTTTTTTTCAAACAGAGGAGCACTCTGAAGAATAGCAGGCAGACATTTGGTCTACATCTGGCGTTCTCTTTGTTCTGTGTCAGTTTGTGAAGTCTGCGCAAATCTTTATTTGTTCACCATTTAAAAAGCACAGTGATGGAACACTTTATCCAAGACACATTTCCTCAGTTTTTTTGGATCCTATAATTGCACAATGGCTGCATAAATGAAAGAAGAAAAAAGCTGGCAGTTTCACGTTCCCCAGGTGTGCTTAGAAACAAAAGTTTAACTGATCTTGAATGTAGGAAACATTTCAATGGCTTAATTTTTCCAGTTCTTCTCAGATTCAGGGAGAAGGGTGTTAACAGAGGGTCCTCTTTCCAGCCAAAGCCTAGATTTATTAATTGTTCTTCATTCATAAGTCATTGTTTCCTCATACTTTTAAAACTTTGTTTCACAAAACACATCAATGCTTTTGCAGAAGAGATACCGAGTGATGAGGAGGAGACAAATGAAGTGAGCCAGGCGATGCAAGAGAACCATGGTGGAGGAGGAGGAGGAGGTGGTGGTGGTGGTGGAGGTGAAGAGGAAGAGGATGAAGATGATGATGATGATGACTGGGATGAAGATGCGTTGGAAGAGACTGCCCTTGAAGGGTTCAGCACACCTCTTGACCTTGAAAATGGTGTTGATGAATACCAGTTTTTTACGCAAGCACTTTTAGGTATGTGTTTGCTGTTTGGCAAAATGATCTGACATGATGAAGTAGTTTGGAGGTGTTTGTGATCATCACCAGGAAAAACCCTTTTCTTTGTTATGAGTAATGATTTAGATTATTGAAGATATGATCTTGCTTTCTAATAATGTTGATCCTGAGATTTTTTTTTTGCTTACAAGTACTATAAAAACCAAATGGTAGCAAATACAGCCAGAGATTAATTCTCTCCGTGTTCTCTTTCAGAATGTTTCAGTCACAGGCTAAATAAGTGGGACTCGGTCACTAGAGGGGCTCCTATAAATAGACATATTTGTCACTTTCTAGATGTTAAAATCATAATGAAGAAATTATTTTCTCCCTTTCCTGTTTGACAAATCCTGTTGCTTTTAGTTTTGATGTGAGTTCTAAATTAGAAAGTTCACTTCATCACTGTCCATGAATAATGGCCACACGGTTAACTTGCTGTTTCAGAAAGCAGAGGATGTAATTAAGTTCCCCAGAATGGATTGCCTCTATTACAGTGGGGGGATTCTGTGCTAAGAAAACCAACAGGAAAACTGAACCTGTACAAATTCTGTTTTAAAACGAACCAGGAAATTCCATGTGTTTCATTTTGTTCTTCTGAAATTAACTTGCAACGTAGCCTGATAATCACTTTGTGCCCGATCCTGTTCCGACAGCGGTGCAGAGCCGAGATGCAGCATGGTACCACTCGCTGACAGCACCACTGAGCGAAGATCAGAAGAAACAGCTGCAGGAAATTTATACATTAGCAGAACACCGGAGAAACGCTGCAGGTGAGTCACTTCTGCGGGGCCATTTTACCTGTGGCGGGGATGTTGGAATCACATCTAATCTGTAACAACAGAGAGAATAAATCTCTGTGCTAATTAACATTTCCTGAGAGGAGCGAGTAGGATACTGCACTTATATTTTCCCTTGCTTGGAGGTGTGTGTTATTCTGAGAGATTATTATTGCTTCTAATTATTTGCCTTCTCATTGGCAAGTGCTGCTGTTTGAACAGGGTATGAACTACTTTTGCACAATCTGACCTTTGAAATGAAGGTGAAATTAAGGCAATACCTAGCTGTCAGCCAGGCATTTGATGAAGATCACTATAGATTATTATGTGTATAACAGGTTTCTAACTGCTAACATTGCCTTCACAGTCAGTGAAGGGTTTTAGATGTTTAGAAAACTTGCATCATGGAGAATAAAATCAGATTTGTTGTGGTTTCACTAGGATAATGTTTTCCTCAGCAGCTGGAGCAGCTGTGTGTTGGGTTCAGTGTGGGATTTGTGATGAGAAGAATGTTGATCAGGTACCAATGTCATTAGTTGCTGCTGCAGCCCAAGCTCATTGTGTTTGGGGAGTTGCAGGTGCAAAGGGCTGGGAGGGGGGAAGCACAGTAATTAGCAAAACCCCAAATTGGCATTTGGCTCTGCCAATGAGATATTCCATCTCCTATCCCGGCATGGGCAGGACATGAACCAGGGCTGACTGGAAATCGGGGGGATTCCCTCAGGGATCGCTCAGGCTCTCGCTCTTCTGGGGTTTGGGGACTGTCTGTGCTCTGGGATCACTGGCTGGGACAGGCTGGGCATCGGTCGGCGGGTGGTGAGCAACTGCACTGGGCATCACTCATTTGCATGTTCTGTTAGTACTGTTATTATCATTATAATTTTATTTTAATTAGCAAATAGTTTTTATCTCAACCCACGAGTCCCCTTGCCCTTTTCCTTCCAATTCTCTCCCCTACTCCCTGGAAGGGGAGTGGGGAAGAGTGGGAGAGCAGGCTGTGTTTGGCTGCAAACCAAAAGGGTGAAACCACCACAAGAATTAATCCAAAAAACACACAGAATAGTGTAGCATAGCCTGGTTCTGGAGAGGATTGATTTCTCAGCTCTGTTGTAGAGGTGTGTGTGCTTATGCATTTAGAGAAGATCTGAGTATATTTTTTCCTGTCACTGCATTTAGGGAATGAGATTTTGACTCAACCGAGAATTTTCTCCACAACTTTGCGTTCTTAGCTGAGCTGTATTGTCTCTGGCAGAAGTGTTCTCTGTAGCCTATTTTTCATATCCTTTCCTTTCTTTGAATTCTAGAGACTAAGACAATAGAACAACAAAGTGGCTACACATTTGACAACAAAGGACTGATCACAGCGTTAAACTTTGCGGGAGGTACTCCTGGTGGCAACTGAAGGATCAACGACAAAGGTCAATGGGAAGGGTCTCATCATTACATTTTCTTGAAATCATCGTGACTTCTGAGTGACAGGGGAGGGTAATTTAATGCTGCTGAAGGTTTCCTGGAAAATCGCAGTGCGCTCCCCCCACCAGAATGTTCTTTCTTAACCAGCTACTGTAATGTACAAATTCTTGTGGTGTTTTTATAATTGGGATGGACTGAAAGGAAGCTATTTGTCCTCAAGGAACCTGAATGACTGGGAGGGGCCAGGCTGCATCTAATCGAGTTGCACTTCTCAGGTTTTTGCTGTGCAGGATTGATAGATTCATATGGATAACAGTGCCTTCTGTTGTACGTGGGTTGCCTGAACAAATGGATTTTGGAGTGCATTATAATTTTGTAAGTGTAAGGACATTTCTTGATACACTGTAAGCCTTGGTTCCATGTTTTCCAGTCACCTGCTTTTTCCTACTCGGTTTAATCGTTTGTTGGTTGCGTACACATTGCTGGATTCAGAAGATTATCTTCCCTATTTGATGGAGACCAGGGAGGTATCTGTTGAAGTTGCAAAGCATGCACTGGTTACATCAAAAGTCTTAACAAAATTGCAGATTTTCCCTTGATGCAGTAGTCTTAAATTATTTCTCTTAGCCATGAAATCAGCTCACTTGAGTTGTGATGGCATGCATGGCAGGGGGCGACCCTAAATCTACATGGGTATCACCTCTTGCCTGGACAGGCGGTGTGGCCCTCGCACGTGGACATTCTACATGACAACTTTTTATTTCCACTATTTTTGATGACTATTGGATTTTACTGGGGGTTCGATAAACCTCTTTTCTCTTTTTATTCATTCATTACCGTTCCAATGGTCGTACTGAATGATGTGGTACAAAATATTGACAGTATTTTATTTATCTTGATAGAAGAAAAACAGCTCCAAACTTATTTCTTAACCTTACACTTTTGTGATTGAATTTCTGGTCTGCATTCCATTTGGCTGTTCTTATCCCATGCTGAAATTTCATTATCTGCTAGATTTTTCCTAAAAAAAAGATGGTTTCTCATAAATGGAAACACGTTTAACAGGGTGTTTGTGAATGCGTTTATTTAGTGAGAAACTGATAGCAGTACTAATTTGAATAGGTGCCCCTCCTTTAGGTCTATTGGAATCACAGTGGTGTAGCCAAAATAAGTAGGGGTGCTTTAGAATGTGAATCTTGGGTTGGAGATAAAATATTTAGACCAGATTTTGTCTCTGTGTGTTAATTTCTTTATGACTTAAAAGTATTTCCCAAGCAATTCTGAGCACGTGCTGATAATGTATTTCTGTAGAGCAGTGCCGCAGCTGAGAAGTCAAAGCCCTTCCCATACCCCGTCACATTTTCAGCGACCATGCTGAATTACAGGTTGCTGGCCCTGCTCTCTGCTGAAGATTTCATTTTTTTCTGTGTCAGAGTAATTATAATTCAGTCTGATAAATCTGAAGTGCTCTGTGCCCTGGTTTCTGGAGAAGGCCAAAGTGTCTCTGCCTGTTCCTTGACCGATCCCCTGGAATTTTCTCAGCCTGGCAGCTGTGGGGCAGAAGGTTTCCCGCTGCTTTCCTTTTTCCTGCAACTTTGTGTCAGAATCTCTCTGGTGCTGCTCTCTACTGCTTTTTTCTTTTTTTTTTTTTCTTTTTTTTTAATCCTTTCTCCCCCTTTTCTCCTTCCTTTGCCCCCTTTTCTCCTTCCTTTGCCCCCTTTTTCTTTTTCCCACACAGCAACTGCCAAGTAAAGTTGGACTGATTCACAAAGGTTTTTCACTGCTGCTACTCACTTAATAGCAGCAGTGAAAATGTCTCACTTTTAGGTCTGTTGTACATACAGAAAACTGGGAGAATTCCAGGGTCTGTATTTCCAAAAGGGAACAAGATATGGAGCTGCACTGGACGGGCTCTTTAAGCTCAAGCAGCAGAGGGCCAGGACATCCTTTATGTTGAACATCAGGCCATGAAAATTGTAGGTCATTTTAGCCAATTTAGGTCCAGGAGTGTATTGACTGAGACGACAGGGAGGTATCACATCCAGTTTGTTGGTGAGTTTCTCAGAAACCATAGAAGTTTTGAAATCCTTCACAAATTTCAGAGATTTTGGAACATAAAGACATGGACAATACCTCTCTTAACCTGACAGTTGAAATATTAGGCAGGTAAGCAGTTTAAGCCCTTTATTATTTTACTTTAAAAAAATTACATTGTTGAGTTTGGTTTCTTTCAAAGCCCATTTGCCTCCTCTACACTGGGATGCAGAGTAGAAGAGGGATTTCGTTTTCTTCTGCTAATCAGGTTACTTGCACAGTCACAAGCTAATATTTAGGAGTTAATGTGTTCAAGGAAAAATCTGCTTTTGCATAGCATCATCTTTATGTCACTCAGCTGAACTGTGGCTGCTCCCTAGTTCTGCTTCTTGTGTACTTTTCAAATCAACTGCCAAGAAAATTTCATCCAGATGTTTCTTACAAGGGGTTTAATCAGCAGCATGGAGTCGGGAATCTTTATTGTCTGTTTTGCAGTGGGGGTCAGAGATGTCTGAGAGGGGTGGCATGTGAAAAGGTTAAATGCCCTTCCCTTCCCTGGAGATTCATGAGTAAATGTTTCTACTGGCAAAAGCAAATGTTAATTATTTTATTCCTTTTTTTGAAAAGGGTTTTCATCCAAAAAGATTTATTGGGCTCTAGCCTCCACTTTAACATATGGTTCTCTTTTAACATGATAAATATCTGTTTGTACATGATCATAAATAGGTAATGGATTGTAGGGATTTCTTTCTGAGCTGTGTCCGGCTTTGTACTGCATTAAAGGGAGAGAAACACAAATATGCATTACTGTCTCACTTTGAAGCTGAGTTAATCATGGATTATCAGGTACCAGCATCTGCCAACCAAACGTGATGTATTTGCCTTTGGAAGTACAGAGAATGGTGAATGTATTGGGAAATAAAACAAGAGCTGATAACCAGTGACCTGTGTTGCCCCATGCCCGTATTCCCAACGTGTGAAGGTGACTTGTACGGGCACCACGGGGGCTTTACATAGGAAATGAGCATTCTATAGTTTGTAATCATAGCAAATGTTAATTTACATGATAAGCTGCTTTTTCAGATAGAATTAACTGATCCTGAGTATTGAATTGCATTTGCTGTTTTGTCACTCTTGAAAGGAAAATAAGACTCGTCACATGTTTTGCCTCCTTTTTTTTTTCCCTCTCTCTTTCAGAGTTGAAGTACTTGGTTTGGTTTCATTACAAAGCAAAATCTTTAATCAAAAAGGCCAGCTCCAGAAAGAGTACAGAATACAAAGCTAAGAAAAAAGCTAACCCCCCTCCCCGCCCCCCCCAAACCCCAGCAATCCCCCAATCCCCACATATGCACAGTCTGATTGAAATAAATGTGCTTTGGGAGTGTGAGTCAAAATACGTAAAGAATGTTACACAAAATGATATTGTGAGATTCTTTGCTTTAGGGGGAAAGGCTGCCTGCAGGGTGTCAGGGAGACGTGGAATGAACTGCTTTAGGACACACCCTCTGCCTGGGAAGCCCAGGCAGTTTGTGGCTCTGGATTCCATCAAACATTGCAGAGGAGAGAAGGTAGGACAGTAGAGGAATTTTTATTTTATTTTATTTTTTTACTACAGAGCAAGAGTCTGTCTCGAGACTTTTGTGAGCCAAAGGAACTGTAGACAACATGAATGACTGACTTTTGCTTCTAGAATACTTTTCAGCCTTTCTTCTTCCCTCCTTTCCTTCCATTTGCTAACCACTATGTGATCAGATATTCCAGGGGATATTCAAAATACCTGAAGAGGTAAAGCTTAAACAATTTTTTTTAAAATCCTTTTGTTCTTGAAGCAATCACAGAATGTCAGGGATTGGATTGCAACCTGTCAGTTGCACTTCCGTCTGTAGAACAATGTCTCTCATTTGACATATGCAGGCGATACAGAACTAAAAAAACCCCCTCATTTGTGTCTGCGGTTTGACGAGCCTCTATGTGATTTACTTCTTAATATGGGTACTCTGAAATCACCACACCATGTACTCAAACTGCTCAAAGGACAGGCAAGAATGCACTGTGGAGTGGAGTGCCCAGTCCTAGCTCTGAGGTACAACTTCGTCAATCTTTTGATAATATTTGACAGTCTAGTGGTTCATTTCTCAAGGATCTCTGTCTTTGAGAAAATTCTTCAAGTCCAAGAGAGTGTATCTTTGGAGGTGGACAGAGAATCCTATTTCCCTCATTGCAGCAAAGCATATAGCAGGCATGGCTGTCAGCTTCTTGATCTTAGGAGTTTTAGATTGGATGTGGGGAAGAATTTCTTTGCTGCAAGGGTTCTGAGGCATTGGAAGGGGTTGCCCAGGGCAGAGGTGGGGTCCCCATCCCTGGAGGGATTTCAGAGTGGTGTAGACATAGTGCTGAGGGACATGGGTTAGTCATAGGGGACTGGTCAGTGTTGGGTTCATGGTTGGACTTGATGATCTTAGAGGTCTTTTCCAATCAAGGCGATTCTGGGATTCTGTGAAAATAGCTGAATCTTACCCCAGACAGCTGGGATACAGTAGGGCTAGATGTTCTCAGTATGTTAAAGGAAGCCAGACACTATTCCATTACCAAAAAGTCTTAGCACAAAGCCATATCCTAAAGAGGATCAGGCCAAGCTGCTTGCCCTTGACACCTCTTCCACTGCTACTGCTTTTGTAGAATGAACCAACCAAAACTGGTGTGAAATCAAAGAGAACTAGAGCAGTGCTTGTGCACTGGACAGGTAGAAACTCCCCTGGCCCATGGATCTAATCCCAGTGCTCACTGCAAATGCACTCAGATGCTTCTCAAATGGAATATATGACATCCGTGTGGATATCAGTACCCTGAGTCTCACAGCCATTAAGGAGAAGTAAAGACTTAATGTGATTTTTCTCCTGCAGAAAACAGATGCATCCCTTTAAAAAGTCTGGGAACCCCTTGTCCTGGCTGATGTGCAGTCACCAACGAGAGAGGCTCAGTGGGATTACAGCCTTCTTAAAGATGGTCAGCGTATCGCCTGTAAAGGGCTGCCTGAAGTGATCCATGTCTAGGGAGCTAACTGGTGAACCACTCCTTGACTAGAGTTTTGGGGAACAGCAGTTCAGAGAGAATCTGCAGGTATATGTAACTGTGATGAATTGGGAAAGCATCCATTTATACTGCGGTGACCCACTGGATATGATCTCAGATCATATAGCGTAGTGTACTATACTAGATCAGTAGCGTTCCCAATGTTGCCTGGATCTTCTAGAGGAGCATCCAAGAACTTTGTCCCACACCTTTCTCCAGGAAGAGGATGTGCTTGGGCAGCCCCCAATTTGGTGCGATGCTTTGAACCTGGGATCAGAAAGCAGTTTTGATGACAAGCTGGTAGTTGTCCATATCAGAAAAATGAGGTGAAAGCAATAGATTAATGCTAGGATTCTCTTTATAGGCTGTATAGAAGTTCACCATTTTTGAGTGCTTGGTTGTGTGCATGGTGGGACAGGAGATGAACTTTCGAACGCATCGATTTCTCCAATGGGAAGAAATCCAACAGCTCCAGGATTCACCCGAGCTGAAT